GAAGTGTTTTGGTTGTGGCTGAACTCAGAGGAGGCATAAACAGAAGGTTTCTCTCTCACACACGTCTCTGAGATGTGTTACCTTTGGGATTTGGAGTTGTTGTCCAGTTTGTTGAACTTGGCACCAGAATTCAGGAATTCCATTGGGATGGGGCTGTGAGGGGAACATCCCTGGGCCATCACCACAGAAATTTCACTCCCTCACAAAATCAGGGTTCAAGTAAGAACTTGTTTCCAGTTTGGATAGAACACACCACTAATGCAGGCCCTGAGATTTCCCCGTTTTTCTCGCTCTGCTCCCATTTTCCTCCTGCACAGTGAGCCATGTCCTTATCCCAACCCCTCCTCCTGAATCCTTTTTTTTTTTTGGACACCAAGGTTGGTTTCCTCCCATCTCAGCAACACTAGGGCACAACCGGGGCCCATCATTCTCTCCCAAACACGTTATCATCATCTAAATCCTGTTTCCTCCTGAAACMTGAGCTAYTTCCACACAGAGAAGCACTCAGGGYTCTCCAAAGGGGAACCAGGGGSRAYCTCCCCTCCCACCCCCATGGAAAGTTTGCCCATGGAGAAAGTTTGAAAACCCCACAACTCTTTCCCAAAAGCTCAGTTGTAAGAATCTCTTTTCCATTCGCAGCTCTGAACATCATTTTTGGGGGCTGTGACAGGAGTCAGCTCAGGTGGGCTCAGTCAGGTGGGCTCAGCTGATGGATTAGCACTTGTCCAGGCAGGATTGGAGATTTCAGTGCTCAGAGCCTTTTCCAGCCCATTGATCTATCCCAAACCTTTCACCAGGTATGAACGGGCCTTTGACTTGCAGCAGAATGAAGCAGCAGTGAATAGAAATGGGACGTGGAAAGGGTTTGGAACAGATGTTTTAATGGTCTGTTTGCTGTTGCGGTCAGAGAGAAATTCCCTTCGACTTCAGGAGCTGGTGGGTAGAATCCCACTCCTCTGGCYCTCAGCTGGTCATTCCCAGGGAGCAGAAGTTTCCAGGAAATGTCCCAGCTGGTGCAGAGTCTCCTGGAAGCAGGGATGTGGAAATCACCTGTAAAATAAGTAACTCTGTTTGAATTTCCAGGTAGGTTTTGAGATGTTTCTGGCACTTCTTTCCCTGTGAGGGTGGGGAGGCCMTGGCACAGGWYRCCCAGAGAAGCTGTGGCTGCCCCTGGATCCCTGGCAGTGTCCAAAGCCAGGCTGGATGGGGCTTGGAGCASCCTGGGATAGTGGRAGGTGTCCCTGCCCATGGCAGGGGGYGGCACTGGATRAGCTTTAAGGTCTCTTSCACCCCAAACCTTTCCAGGATTCTCTGATTCCATGATGTCAGTCCCAGACCTTGAGCTTGGCTGGATCTGGGCACAAAACCCACCAGGGCAGAGCAGAGCAGAGCAGAGCAGAGCAGAGCAGAGCAGAGCGAGCTCAGGCGATGTGAAATTCAACAGACATACTTTACACCCACACCACTAAAAATGAGCCGCTGCCGCCAACTCTTCATCTGGAAAGAGGAGCCACCGATGTCTCTGTGCTTTGGACAAGGCRCAGCGCTCGAGTCCTGACCATATTTAGCCATTAGATCTTCTCCCACAGAATCSTGGAGTCACARGATGGTTTGGGTTGGAAGGGACCTTAAAGCTCATCCAGCTCCATTCCCTGCCACAGGCAGAGAACCAGGAATTCTGCAGGAGAGCGGAGGTTTAGAGAAAATCATCTGGCCAAGGGCCAGCTCTGCTGTTGTTATTTCTCCCTGCTATCYCCACACTTCATTTCATCCCCCAAATCGCTGCGTTGAGTTACTCCAGGTTTGGAAAACACTGTCATGCTACAGAGACAGCGACGGGGAGGAAATGATGTCTCTACCAAATGCCCCACACAGCTGAAATCAGGCCACCTATTTAGGTGTCGGGTTTAGGTTTTGTCATTGTAAGCACAGAAACTTGAAACATTTTGCTCAAATGTGTTGAAAGCCCCAAAGACATTAAAGATTATTCATGGCATAAATATTCATTTGCAGGAAGAGGATTGTTGGTTTTGTTTTGTTTTTTTTTTTTTAATGCATGAATATTTCAGGCAGGGTGTGCAGTCCCTTGAAGGAAAAGATGACCAGATTCTGAAAGCTGTTTAAATAGTTCATAATATTAAGGATATTAGGAATTAAAGCTATCAGGACACTCAGTTTTTAAGATTTAACCATGGAATAGAATCCCAGAATGGTTTGGGTTGGAAAGGATATTAAATATTATCCAGTTTCAAACCCCTGCCATGGATAACTTCTGCTTCAGTTAAAATTCTTCCTAGATTTTCCTCAACTGATCATTAGTGAAAAATTCCCTCAGAATCAGTCCTCAAACTTCCCCCCCAGGTGCTGTAACACCATCACTTCACTGCTCAATTTTAGCCACAAACACATTGCATTTATTACCCTGAACACCAGAAGATATATTTATTTTATTTGCAGGTCCCGTCATAGAAAATGACGTCTATTTTCCCATAGAAAACCCGATTCCCTATGCCAGCAGCACATTCAGACATCGCGGCTTCCCATCTCCAGCTTTCCCTGGTTCAGAATTCCCTTTTTTTTTTTTTTTTTTTTTTTTGAGATGGAGTCCTGGCTGAGCCTGTGTGGAGCTCTGGTACCATCTAGTGTTACCGAGGGAAGCTTCAGCTGCTGGATGCGGCTCTTCCTCACCGATGCAGTGGCAGCATTTCCTCCTTCAGCAGCTGGGGCTCGGGATGAGCAGGTCCTGGAAGGGGAACAACTCAGAATCACAGAATCATGGAATATCCGAAGCTGGAAGGGACCCACAGTCCAGCTCCCAGCCCTGCACAGAGCCAGCCCCAACAGTCACATTTCCCTGCTCTTCCCCTGCAGTGAGGGAGCTGCAATGAGTCTCCCCAGTTCAGTGCTGAGTGCTCCTGGTGTAACTGGAATTATTGTGATTATTATGGAATCCTGGAATGGTTTGGGTTGGGAGGTCGTCTCATTCCAAACCCCAGAACAGACAAATTTCCTTCAGCTGCTCCTCCTGTGGCTTCACCTCAAGATCCCAGCTTTGTTTCACTCCTTTGGATACTCTCTTGCAGTTTAATATCTTATGTTGTGGGGACTACAACTGCTCATATTGTTCGAGGTGAGGCCACCCCAGAGCAGAATGTGGTGTGGGGTTTTCACTAATGAAGTCTGTAACTGATTACTTGTAAGAACCAATCAGGTCCTGGCAGAAAGGATGTAAAGGTCTTCAATAATTAGAGAAATGGGTGTTAATGTTTTCACTAAGGGCTACATCTGAAAGAGAATGGGTGTGGAGGTTCTGAAGAACCTCAAACCCGGCAAGAGTTGAGCACAGTCTGAACTTCAGGGAAAGACGTGCAGGCTTAGTAAGTTTGTAAATATTAACTTCAGCCAGGGTCAGCTTAAATCCCAGGGGGTAATATTAATGGTCATCCAATGCATAATAGARGGGGATACATGTTAAAGGGRGARTATGTAGTATTTGGGACGGTACGTCGGCCAAGGGGGAAAGGAGGAGGGAAATGTGCTTGGGAAAAGAGCATAAAATGAGGCTGGGTCCTGCAAAAACTCAGATATCACAGAGGTATGGCCCAGTGGACTCTCTCCCTTCAGAATAATCAATAAATTTGATTTTTTTCAGACTCCTCTGGCTCTTGGTGGACACTGCCCTGGCCCAGCGTGATCCCCCGCACAGGTCGGTGCAGGGGACACCTGAAGAACCGAGCCCACCATGACAGCCCCAAGAACACAGAAAACGCTCCCCCACCTCCTGCGGGGCGCGCTGCGCGGACTCCTATTTTGTGAACGAACTGAAGATTGATGTAAAAAGTTTTTATGTAAAAAAAAAAAAAAAAAAAGCTTTATTTACTTGGCTGCGGCAGCCCCGCCCCCGTGCCGTGCCCTCACCCAAGATGGCGGCCGGGCCGCCGCCCTCAGGCGGGGTCGCCCGGGCGGAAATGGCGCGCGCTGCCTCAGCGGGGGCGCCCGGCGGCCCGGAAGCGCTCGGGCCTTGAAAAAGTGGCGGGAGCGGCACCGGGACAGAGCGGGAATCGCCGGGAGTGCGGAAAAACAACGGGAATCGCCGGGAAAAAGGCAAGGCCTGGGGGGATGAGGGGGTAGAGCGAGCGCGGTGCG